GCTTCTGCTCAGAAATGGCACACTTCATTTTTGCTCATATTTCATTAGCTAAAGCAAGTCAGTGTGCCCAAACATAAAGCCAATGGGGCAGAAATGTAAAATTCTCCTAAAGGGTGAATGGCTTGAACTTTAATACTATCTGCCACATGGCCACCACATCCAGTTCACCTTCCAGGGGTACGGAGGCCTGTGGGACATTTCCTCAGGCTCCTGGGTCAGTGAGCTTTGGAACCCAGCTAAGGGGAAGCCCCTGCAGGAGACGTAGGAGAATGTGAGGTTGGGAGAAGCCAGGGCATCCCCCATCGCCTCCCCCCACCCCATCCCCAGTCACAAGGAGGCTTCTGCAGAGGCTGGCTGTATTTCCTCCATGACGCTAGCATCCACCAGCCAGGTCTGCTGAGTTTTCTGCTTCTGCTGAGTTGTCCCTGGACACTATGATCTTAGATTCACATCCTCTGATCCAGTCTCCTAAGTTACAAGATAGGGGGAGAATCTACTCACATCATCCAGTTGTTTCAAGAACAAAACTAAAGGATGTTTATGAAAATATGCAAAGAACAAAGTGCTAGACAAATAAGGTGCTTAAATGTATACAAAGTGAGGCAACAGGGTGCTGCAGAAAAGGAGACTGGGGATCATAATGCTTACGTTCATGATCTTGCTCTGCCACCAACTGTCACCTCATCCAGGCAACACTGTGTTCTCTATTTTCCTCATCTGCAAATTGGAGATAACATTGTTGATAATGAAGCAGTCACAGAATAGCATAAATGAAAAGAGCTATGAAGATGTATACTCTCAAGTGTAAAAAGCTATACAAATGTTAAATTAATTCACTAGTTATAAGCAGAGAAAAAACTTTATTTCTATCAAATTAAAAAGTAGGAATCAATCTTCAAGCAAGATAATCAAAATAGTCAATAACAATGAACAGTTAGGAGAGCATGTACAGATTAGACTACAGGTTTAGATAGTCTGAATTAAGCACATACGCCCAATTCAAGAGGGCTGACAACTTTCATTGAGGAAAAGCAGTGACTCATCGTAAACACACAACTTCTGGGAAACTGGAGCTGACTTTTCACAGGACAGTAAACCGAAGTGACAAGCTGTCATTGGCTTCGAGAACAGATTTGAGCTTGAGAGGGGTCACAGTGAAACGCCATTGTAATGCAACAATTTCCCCAGAGATCTGTTCATCTCAAAAACAGGAATATATAAAAATCAGTAGTACAAATTCTCATAAAACTAGAAAAACCCTCTAAGCCCTAACACCTTGGAGCTTACATAAAGACTGAGTTTTTGTTTTCTTCCCTTTACCCTTCACTAAATTAAATACAAGTTTGTTTTTATTTAGCACATTTCTGACTTCACAGCCAAAGCTTTAAAATCAAGAAAGGTTTTATGAAATGGAATTAGACATACCCTAACCCCAGGAAGAATCACAAGGTGCACTTGGTGTAACTTGGAAAAGTTACAAACAGGAAATCTTTTATTTCCAGGAAGACAGATGCTGTTTCCTGGAATAGCCTAATTATTACCCAAAAGGAATGCGCATCCATGCCATCCAAGGGCTCTTATCCACTTGGAAATGTTTCATCATCTCTCCCTCCCTCTCCCTACACACACACACACACACACACACACACACACACACACAGATCAAATTGGGGGCATTCCCTGACACATATAGATAATGGCATTTATTTTGGCAAGAATTGTGCAATTTGTTAAAAGAAAGATAAGGTATGGCATTTATGAACAATTGTAACTACAGTATGTCTCAGCAGATGCAGGAAGCAGATTTTTATTCATAGTTGAAATACAGCTTCATGGTTTCCCAACATCTGGGTCTTGCACACTTTTCATCTAGAAACCAGACGAGATCAGTTATATGTGGAAAGGGAAGATAACTTATGACCAGACCACACGCCCGTTTAAAAAAAAGAGAAAAAGGCTGATTGCTAGGTTCTCCTTTTGTGACACCAAATAGACCAGGGAGTTACTAAAAATGAAGGGGAATTAAAAAGAAAGCAATTCATACTCAGAACAAAACTTGGCCTTATGACTTGCCTCTCTGGCAAAATTAAGTGCAGCAAGGAAAGATAGTGTCTTTTAAATGAAAGGTAATACATGAAACTCATCAGGTAGATATGAATGTTTCCCGAGATGCTGTCACCCAGCAGAGCGCAGATGAGGTACATGCCCTCTGTAAGTACAGTGTGCAGCTACCACCAGGACCCACTGAGTGCCCATTTCTTGTCTCAGCACCAGAGTGCCAAAAGTAGAGATTCCAGGTATAATCAAATAACACTGCTTTACCTATTAATTAGAATGGGGAGCTTGGAGGAGGAAAAGGTGCAAACAAAAGGCCCTTTTGGATTTCCTGGTTAATCCCTATAGGTACATGGAAATACAAATTTAAGTGAACAGAATGATTGCAGTTTTTATACAAAGAGGCAGGACAACTAAAACATCTACTATGTAGGGTAATTACTGAAGACTTAATTAGAAATGCACATGATGCACGTAGCATTAAGTACCAATAAACAGGAACTACTGAATGCCTATGCCTTAATGTATTTGGAATTTTGCAGTCTTTATGACCTAAACAGGCCCTCCCAGTGGGCAGGTAAGCTGTTTAGACTGCTAAACAGTTAAAGTCAAATACTGAAATCAGTTTACAGTGAACTACATTTTATAACAGTCCTATTTATGGTGTTGCACAGGCACCCTTCTATCTAAAGTCATCCTGTCTCAACAACATTTTAAAGTGGTAGGTGGGTGAAGCCACAGCAGTACCTCTTCCCAAGAATCCCACCCTGCCCCATCCATTTATTTTTTTTTTACCTTTTTCCTTCCCTACCAAAGGGAGGGGCACACTCTGGGTAAAGCTGGAGCTCATCTCGGCTTGGCTGTTAGAGGGTGGCAGGGAGTGACCCTGGGCAAGGCGGTTAAGACAGGAAGCCAATCTCCCCTGGTTCCAACCAGAAGTGTGCATGAGAAACAGTGCCACATCAGATGGCAGGCAAAAGTGTGAATGTGGCATTCGGGGTCATGTTAATGTGCAGTGTGACACAGGGAAGATGTTATGTGGGGGGGCTCCATCACCTGCCAGCACTTCTGGAAGGATGTTATCATCAGGGCCTTATCTGGGGGTGGAAGTGAGGGAGTGATTTCTCCTGATTATCAGGGAAGAAAAGTAAGTAGCATCTGGTAACTCCCAGAATCCCGAGTCTACAGGGGACATTGTGGTGGGGCGCGGTTGAAGTGCAAAGGTTCCTTAGGGGTACAACACCTGACATCAGAAGAGGAGGTGAGGAACATGAACCTGACTCCTCCACAGACTAGCCTGGAACCAAGCCCAGCCTACTTTAACAGTCTTTCATTTTATAAGTGAGGAGTTATGAAGGAAGATCAAAGGCTCTATTCTTCCTCTAGCAGCTCCCTTTCCTTAAGCAAAGAGGAGTGGGGGGCGGGGGGAGAGTGGGGACAGTCCCATATACAGCTGAATGTCTCTTCTACTTTTGATGAGGCGACTTAGAAATACAAGCAAAATCAAGCAGGCTCAGCACAGGACACCGATGGTGAACGTCCAGAAGCAAACTCAGGCTACAGAATCAGGAAAACCTGGGTGTGAGTCCTGGCTGCACAGTCTATTGGCAACAAGAGCCTGGGCAAGATGCTTCAGATCTCTGACCCTCGCCTTCTTTATTTATAAATGTGGCCTCATGCCCATCTCAAAGGATGCTTGAAAGATTAAATAAGTGTTTGCTAAGGTCCTAGAACTGCACCTATCACCCAAAGGCCTTCAGTAAATGGTACTTACTTTATGTCTGCCTTAGTGTTAAAGGGTATTAAACACAGCAATGTTTTCAAACTCTAAGTGGGAAGCCTGTTCAGACAATGGGAAGCAAAACTAATTCACAACTGGCTAGAATCACAGAATGTGTGTACAGGTAGGAATCTTACAGACACCCAAACTACTCTCTTTGCATAACTCTGAAGGAACCGTACATGCAGCAGAAGGAAAACTAAGAAAAGATGGCTCTTTAGCTTTTATCAAAATATTTTCAAGAGAATTTTAGTTTGTTTTTTTTTTTTTTTACAAAATTATTGGAGGAAATGCCAGAGAGCTTGTTGAAGAAAATCTGACATGAACTTTTTAGGCCACTGAACATGAAGTATCATCTTTGAAAGACCCATGGAAAACGTGTTTGTCTTTTTTATTGGTCTCACCAAGCACACGGCCCTCACCAAGCACAAAGACAGCAGGCGCCACTGAGACGCTCCCACACTGACTGTTAACTATCTATTCTGCTGGAAGAGAGGGAAGGATGGAGGACTTGAGTATGGCATCAGGGACCAGCCATGTCCCATACCTCTCTTGAAAACTCCAAAGGGAGTCTGTTAAACACAAAGAGAACTGAAGGAAGAGTGATGAAGATTCTTCTACTTCCAGAAGGGCACACACTTTCCTCTCCTGAATTATCAACCTTAACTCTCTACTTTTCCTAGTTTTTGGAAATTGTCTCCATGGCAGTACTAGTCTAAATTGTGTGACTTTCTTCATATTGGATTTGTTTTCTCTATACCTGGTTCCCCAGGAAACCTGAGCTTTACCTATAGGTCTGATTTTCACCTTGCCCCACCAACTGGCATTCAAACATGGCTCTTCTAAAGCACTAGAAGTCCAGATCACGCACTGATGTTTCATAGACCTACCTGGGCATCTCCATTGCATAAACCCAAAAAGTAACATGTTGATTCAGAGAATGAGGAGACCAGTCTATGTTTCTACTACGGCAGTTAAAGAACATTCACACGAAGGTATAAAGGAGGGAACTGGCGTGAGCGGGGCAGCATTTGTACGGAAGATGCAATCATTACCATACAGAACACATCTGCCAGGGAATTGACTGGAGATTCTCCAGGACATCTTCAGAAAATAAATAATGCATTGCAACACCAGAAGCTTGCTGAAATAGGCTTTTGTTTTGTTTTTTTTTCCCTTCTCCTCAGTATGAAGGGTTAGACAGAAGTCACTCCCAGGAATAGCAAAGGACTCTCCTTAGGGACAATCACGATGCATGAAGAGGGGTATTTATTTTTAAGGCAACAGGAATAAATTTCATTGTCCTTCCCAGAGGAGAGCAAGAATTACATTAGGTGGCCACCAAGTCTGGAAACCAGGCAAATCTTTAATAAGCGGTTTACTGATATTACATTACAAAGAATGACAAAATTGTATCATCTATATTTCTAGACTTAATGGCCACCCCACAGAAAGCATCTTTGGAATAGATTAAAAAATTTTAAATTTGTTTTCCCATAATCATAAAGCTGTCATACTCAGTCTGGGGACAGCTAGTGCAACATTTTCCTTAACCCACAGGCTCCATTCCCTTTACCAACTATTTATAATATGTTTGGGTCACTCACAGGAGAAAAACACTGTCAGCATTAATATTTAGCAGCATTTCAAAATACATTTTTTTTGTCTTGAATAAAAAGCTAAACTATTCTTTTAGTGCAGTAATTCCATATGGTCTTATTACTTCTATACACAAGATATGATCCTTTAACATTTATGTAGTATCTCTCACTTTTTTGAAGACTCCCAAAGACTTTGAGGATTTTATTTTTTCACAATAAAAGAAAAGAGCAGTGTCAACCCATGAAGGTCAGCCCAGCAGCATAAGTAGACCCTCTGCAGAGCTCAGTTCCTGGTACAAGAAGCAATTGGACACCCTCCTCTCGCTCTTGGCTCTTAGAAAGGAATCTGAGAGATAAAAGCAGTAACTATCTGTATTACTTCATAGCCTAGGAAGGGAGAAAGCAGATGTACCAAAATACAGTCTAATAAAAATAGCAGAAGCCAAATCCTTTCATTCCAGGATGTCTGAAAAGGAGAGATTCTACAGAACATGGTTGCAGAAAAAGGTATCACTCCAAACAGAAAAAAGCAAATTGTGGACAGTCACTCAGGGCCAAAGAAGCGACCATAAAGAGCAATTGGCTTCAATCGCACAGTCACCAGGAAGGGCACATACCAGAGAACTTGGGACAAGGCCGGGGCTACTGCCCTGCACATTCTCAGGCCACCTGGTGCTGTGGTTCACAGGCTTTGGGGGACAGGGAGAACCAGAGGCCAACACAATCACGTGTGAAAAGGCTACTATGGCAACAACGTGATGGTCAGAACTCAGCTAGACTTTGGATTATACACCATTTGAAATCCAGTCTGTACTTGCTTCTTGTGAAGGGCTTGAGACGTGCAGACATCTTTGACATGTGTGGGTGACCCTTCTTTAGAAAGGCAGAGAAGAGCCTCTTCATGAACTCTTTCTACTCATTTGTTTTCATTTCAGTCCACCATTTAGACTAGAAAAGACGCTGCAAGCTATCCCTGCTAGCTTCTAATTTGGACACGGCATCAGTACTACACATACAACTGAATGAATGACATCTTCCTGGTTCTTCACTGGGCAGGCTCAGTATGCTTCTTTGGACTGAATAGGTGTGATCTTGTTCGAGAAAAGCGTGTAAACATAGGGCCAGATTTTGTTAGTCTCCGTCCCAGAAAATTGGTGAAGTACTCCTCGGCTCCTGAAATACAAAATCCGACACATGAAGGCATTTTAGGTTCACTTTTTTTTTTTTTTTAAATGTTTATTTTTGAGAGAGAGAGAGAGAGAACATGCAGGGGAGGGGCAGAGAGAGGGAAGACAGAGGATGTAAAGTGGGCTCCACACTGACAATAGCAAGCCCAATGTGGGGCCCAAACTCACAAACTGCAAGATCATGACCTGAGCCGAAGTCCAAGTCAGATGCATAACTGACTGAGCCACCCAGGAGCCCCTTAGGTTTCTTTTCAACATGATATTAGGGCAGGTGAAGGTCTAGGGTATAAAGCAAGCATGATCTCATGGCCTACCACATACACTGTAAGTGCCAAAGCAGCTCCCTCAAATGTATCAACACCCCCACTTAGGGATACCTAAATAAGGACACAGCTTCTACATTCTGGCATGCTTGGCATGATGCCACCTCTTCTCCTGTTTAAAACATATCAAAGAAGGGCGCCTGGGTGGCTCAGTCAGTTAAGCATCCAACTCTTGATTTCGGCTCAAGTCATGACCCCAGGGTTGTAAGAATGAGCCCCGTGACAGGCTCCATACTGAGCATGCAGCCTGCTTAACATTCTCTCTTTCCTTCTGCCCCTCTCTGTGGCTCGCGTGTTCTTTAAAAAAAAAAAAAAAACAAGAAACAAACAAACAAAAAACAACAACAAAAGAAAAACATCCAAGAATAACATTATATGGACAACACCAAGTTTGCCTCAGTACATACTTTCAAAAAACAGATCACTGATAACCTTTGGTACTATAAAACCCTTATTACTTACAACAGATCATAAAACACATGATGGATCATAATCACATGATCAGGAACTTCTGATCTGAAGGCCTGCTAGATTATTCGGGAGCTAAAAGGTCAGAAATTGATTTACAGCGGAAGTTGTAGACAGCTGTCTGCAAATGGGTTTTGTTTGGTTTGCATGCTGTTAAAAATGTTACTTGTTGTGACTACTTTTAAAACTTGGGATTTCCCCCCCATATACACACAGAGCCAGATTTCTGCTTCTCGTGAGAATCAATGGGCACTAGCCACTCTGGGCCTGAGTGCCCCTATGGTAATCACTGGGTGATGCCACATAGCAGCTGTCCGCTTCAACTGTCACTCACCTGCCCAGGTTAACACAGCCCTCACCAGGTTTGACACTCATTTCCAATGCCTGCCTGCCCCCTGGAGCCATCTAAATTTGCCATCCGTAGCTTATAGTTTTAGCTTGTTTTTGGGTTAAATTCCCTCCTAGACATAGCTAGTCAAAGGGTCCCTTCTAATCTTCCAAATGAGATATTTACATGTGGGAGTGTCAAAATATAAACCATTATTTTAGCTCCTTAAAAAGAAAGATGAAAATAACTCTAGATGTAATCTTACAACCAGACAGAGAGGATCAGGTTTCGGTTCTTGTATTACAAGAATCTCAGCATAAAAGAACTGGAAGACATCTCCCACGTACAACCCCCAACATTTCACCTGACCTTCAGGGAGGAACTTGGTATTTAGAGTTTATCTCGCTTGAAGAAACACTACTGCATCTCAGCCCAGCATCGTTCCCAACGGGCACCACACTGTTTTAACCGGCTGTCCACCATGAAAATGCTGACGCACACTCACTTGTATAATTCAATGACTGGCTTTGCCACATCCTTGTACTGTCTCAGCCGGGCAGCAACTGCTTCAGGTTTATCATCCTCCTGCTGGATTAATGGTTCACCAGTGACGTCATCAATCCCCTACAAACACCAGAGAAACCAGTTAATATGGCCAACAGCTGGGCCATTCCATAGATGAAAAACTTTCCTGTGCAAAACCCATTGTATTCACCTTCAACTCCTCTCACACAATGAATTAGGCCTGATGACAATGGTAATAGTGAAAGTAGTTGAAAAAAAGAAAACACACTCTTAACAGTATGTTAACCTTATCTCATTGAGAGCTGACATGAAGTCTTTATTAACTTCTCAGATCTTTCCGAATATGTTACAGTGCTATTGATAAATGATGTTTTCAATTTATAATTTAAAACTCCCTGCTGCCTCCCCCAACAATAAACAACCTTTAGACACTGTCACTCTGGCCTCTAAATATTCCTGAAACTTCCTTGCTTTCTAAAGTTTGAGTTGTTAATAAGGAAAATAAGTCATTTCAAAGAACCAACTTGTTTACTTAGGAAAACACTGATCTAGGAGAAGGTATCTCTCTCCTACCTGTGCTAGCTTTCAAAACCTTTTCTGAGATTAATCTTACTCAGGCTATTTTACTAGATCACATAATGACTTACCTAAAGATAGATTAAAGTATGCATGAATCATATACCTATGATAATCAAGAACAAACATTCTGAGAACTGAAAAGATGCAATTCTAAGAACCTGACTTTTGACATATTTTAACCTTCTCAGGAAACATATCTACTTAAAAATGGCAACGTGCACATACGAGGATCTTGCCTCCCGTGTCCATGGCTATTACCCACCAGGGGAGATAGTCACAAGAAATAAATCTGTCAAAAGCAGGCTAGAGCACAACCAAAAGGTTCAGGCAACTCAACTGGATAATCAGAAACCAGCTATAAATTTGAAACACACTAAAATTCCATTACAGCTCAGGGCCTTGGGTACATAATTTATGCTTATGATTTACTGGTGAGCCCCATAATATCACATGTGTATTCCATGGCTGTTACCCTGACACAACAGGGGAGATGGGGGTGGGAGAAGGCTGTACATCACCTCTACTTTCATCTCCTTGACTTTACTTATGACTGCAAAGCTCAGAAGTCATTTCCAGGACCTCAGAGCACTAGTAAATAGAACAACTGCTTCTAGACAGAGCAGAATGATGTTGGGGTGATAGCATCCCGTCTTCCAGGGGAACCTGGCCACAGTGGCTGATAGAGGTGGCCCAGACTAGCACTTTCACTGCTGATTTCAGGAGCAGCACTGTAATAACTGTGGGCGTTCTTTTATATCTATTCTTTGGAAAGTAACTTAGTATTAAAAATTCTCAAATTTTAAGACAACCTGCTTCAGCAGGGCGAGACGGAACTAAAATGTGAAACATCTGTGTTAGACTTCAGTGCATATTCAGAACCCTCTTTTTCCCCTCCATTTTGTCCCCTCTACTAGTTTCTTGAGAAAGAAAGAAGGGACTTAATAAAGGAATTCCAGAAGTATTTATTATATTTTTAAAAAGACTTCTGGGGTACCTGGCCGGCTCAGTTGGTTAAGCACCAACTTCGGCTCAGGTCATGATCTCACGGTTCGTGGGTTCGAGCCCCGAGTCGAGCTCTGTGCTGACAGTTCGGACCCTGGATCCTGCTTCGAATTCTTGTGTCTCCCTCTCTCTCTGCCCCTCCCCCACTCATGCTCTGTCTTTCAAAAATAAATAAACTTAAAAAAGACTTCAGAAGGCAACTAGTGCTTAGCCCAAATGAACAGGACTCCCTGGAACTTTCTCAAATCTATGGTACTCAGGAGCTAGGATGGCATCCTTACCCTCTTGAAGCTGGTTTTCTGTTGTAATTATTGACTATCGATATTCAGGTCTACCTATTCCATAAACATTTATTCAATAAGATACAACTGTCACCTCTTTCACATTTGGAGGATTACAAATAATATGATCTACCTCCCAATAATTGGAGTTAAGAATCAAATTGAACTAATTCATATCTTTACCAGAAAGAACAATAATTCTTTTAAATGAATTCGTTAATTTAAAAAGTTTCTTGGGGCCCCAAGTGGCTCAGTCAGTTAAGTGTTTGACCCTTGATTTGGCTCAGGTCATGATCTCACAGTTGATGAGCTCGAGCCCTGCCTGGGGCTCCACACTGACTGCATGGAGCCAGCTTGGGATTCTGTCTCTCCGTCTCTCTCTCTGCCCCTTCCCCACTGCACACACGCTCTCTCAAAAAATAAAACAAATAACATTTAAAAAAATAAAAGTTTCTTTAAACATATACCTTTATCTATGCTTATTTTATATAAACGTTATTCTTTTGAACTTGTTATTCCTCTAGTCTTCCCCCTTTACACCCTTACTCCCATCAATCCCATGACCCTGCCCACTCTGACCCCAGTTCTGCATTCAGACCCAGGGCTAACCATTTATCCCTGTTCTTATGAAGCCAGAGAGCACATATAAACACACACACACACACAAACAGATATGTGTAAAGAAAGACAGTCACTTTTTACAAAAACGGAATTATTGTGCTATTTGCTTTTCATATTCAGTAATACCTGGAGGAAATGTTTCTTCAGGTCAAAGACTATAGCACGAAGTCTTTCCTTTTACTGACTACATGGCATTCCAACTGTAGATATTCTCTAATTCCTTTTATCATCTGCTGCAAATGAGCATCATTTTTGTTTTCAGATTTTGTTTTGTTTTTCCCTAAAATCAACACTAGAATAAGCATAATTGTATACATGATCTTACCTGTTAGTGCTTTCATTTCCATAACCTATGCTCCCAGTGGTGGGTTGAATGAAATATGTATTTAAAATTTTTTTTAAATTTTACTTAATGTTTTTTATTTACTTTTGAGAGAGAGAGAGAGAGAGAGAGAGAGAGAGAGAGAGAGACAGCATGAGCAGGGGAGGGTCAGAGAGAGAGGGAGACACAGAATCTGAAGCAGGCTCCAGGCTTTGAGCTAGCTGTCAGCACAGAGCCTGACACGGGGCTCGAACCCACGAACTGTTGAGATTATGACCTGAGCCGAAGCTGGACGCTTAACCGACTGAGCTACCCAGACGCCCCTAAAAATTTTAATGTACAATGCTAGATTGCTTTTTAAAAAGACTACAAATACTTCACATGCCTAATAAAGATGAGAATACCATTTTTCTCTGATCCCCACCAGCAACAGATGTTATAAACTTGAATTTGCACTCCTTGACCACTAGTGAATGAGAAATTTCAAATACATTTGGCCACACAGATCTGCTCTTTTTTGAATCATCTATTCATATCCTTCCTATACTTTACGGCTGAAATGTTGTGCCTCTTGTCAGTCTCTCAAAGGGCTCTGTATAGTCTTACGTGCACATGAGGTGGATTGAAATCCAGGTTATACACCCTTCCACTGGGAGGGTGAATCCAACGTCGGCTGAGACGGTCTTTGAGTGTTTCGAATGGAATGTTCAGAGTGATCACTAGATCCAGCTCACAGATTCTGTCCAGGGCTTCAGCTTGAACTAACGTCCTAGGAAAACCTAAATGCCAAAAACAAAACATATCAAATGCAAGACATTTCCCAATTCCAGTGAGTCAATGGAATATTTTCAATGACAGAATAATCAAGTCTATACATATGCCACCCAGAATGAAGCTTTCATCAGGGATTTATGTCTACCTCCTTAAATTTAATAGTAGAAGAAAAGAGGCTACTTTAAAACCCAGTTTTGGCATTTGGGACACTGAAAGATTAAGGAGTCACATGATACAAGTGGAGAGTACACTAAACTAAAAATCATTAGACCAGTCCTAGCTTTGCTCTTAACTACTCACGTAACCCTAGGCGAGTTATATCACCTCCATTTCCTCTTCTGTTAAAGAAGTGAAGCGACAAAATTATATTTGTGTCCTTTGATAGCTTTAACAGCTGATAAGTATATTACTCTTAGGCTATTTCCAAAATTATATATACATGTATATGTATTTTTTATCCATTCCTTACATCTTACAAAACTCAACATGTGGTCTGCAATCTAATACAATAACCACAGAAATGAGAAAAAGCATTTAGGAATGTTATAGCAATTCCACAGTAATTTTAAGCCTACTAAATCTAAAATTTATGCTTGAATTTGTGGTTTTCTTTTAATTTTTGCTCTTGTTATATTTGATAAAAGGGCTGCTCTGCAGTGGAAAACAAAAGAAACTGGACTTTCACTAGAGATAGTTTGTTCTAGGCTTCCCTTGGAGCTTACTTTCTAATTTTTCCAATAAGGAAAATTATCCAATGGCCCCCGCAGTATCCAACTTGTGATGTTGTTTATTACAGAAGGTTGTTTATTACAGAAGATGGAGTTACATCTCTTCCAAAAAGATACAAGAATAAAGAGCACCAAACCTGGGGCATGTGTTCAACTCTATTTTTATGATAGGGAAAGAAAAAGCAAGTCCAAACAGAGGTAGGAAAAAGCTTATCTTGCAGGGCATATCTCAGTTCACTGGCTATCACATGGCTAACCCCAGGTAATCACAGGTTCCCAGAAGAAACTGCTTTCACATTTTTTTTAAAAATTTTTATTTATTTTTGAGAGAGTGAGGGAGGGAGAGAGAGAGAGGGAGACATAGAGTCCAAAGCAGGCTCCAGGCTCCTAGCTGTCAGCACAAAGCCCGATGTGGGGCTCAAACCCACGAACTGTGTGAATTCATGACCTGAGCCGAAGTCGGACACTTAGCCAACTGAGCCCCCAGGCACCCCTGCTTTCACATTCTTGTGTGCTTTTCTCCATGACCCATCATGCATTCGGACTGGCTTCAACAGAGAAATATGTTACTTCTAATTTTTCTTTTACATTTATTTTTTTTTTTGAGAGAGAGAAACAGAGCATGAGTGTGGGAAGGTCAGAGAGAGAGAGGGACACAAAATCTGAAAGAGGCTCCAGGCTCCACGCTGTCAGCACAGAGCCTAACGTGGGGCTCGAACCCACGAGCAGGGAGATCATGGCCTGAGCTGAAGTTGGATGCTTAACCAACTGAGCCACCAGCGTCCCTAGAAATAGGTATTTCTAACCTTGTAGCCCAGGTGTTGCCTGGGCCAACAGCCCAGCCACCTGCATTGTCTCCCTCCTCCCACAGTGACTCTCCAGCTAAACATCCTCTTCACAAAAAAGGTTCCCACACATGGGAAATTATGCTAGTACGTTCACAGTGGCTTTCTTTGTGGTGGAAGATGGGGGAATTCCTTTATATCCTTCTAGTTTCTAATTTTTTTTTAATTGAGCAGACAGTGCTTTCAAAATGGAAACAAAATACTGCCCTTAGATAACAAGCTGCTAAGTAGATTTTTTTTTCAAATCTCAATATAATTTGTTAGACCAAATTATGATTACTTGACATTTTGGAAAATGAAAGGTCAAACTATATCTGCCTAAGGCCAAGCACATTATGGATACTTGGCCTTAACACTGGAAGAGAGCAATGCCTGGCATACATGGGCAAACATTTCCACTTAACACTAGGGTAGCTGTCTTCTAGTCTTCTGTTCTGTGGCCATACTTATTTGACCACTTGTCTTACTTTAAAATCCCAATTTAACTCTGTGAAATTATACGACTCTGTCAAGCTCTGTAAACTCAATATATAATTTTTTCTTTCTATTATGGAATGGTTTGACTGCTTGCATATCCATTTATTAAGCAACCTTTCTTTTGATTATTAAGTTCAAAAGAAACTTAATTTTAGAATTGGGGCTTCACAGCACCTAGATGTATCCTGGAGCTTCAAATATGTGATAACTACCAGGCAGATGATAATGTGATACTCTCTGGGTCACCAAGGAGCAAGACTTGGCCCATATGGGCCCTCATGGCTCAATTCAATCTATGGCTACATAGGTTGGGTGGTAGGCAAGGAGTCTCAGAAGAGTCCAGATAAAACCACGCCTCCCATATCTTTTCCACCAAATTCCTTATTGAATACTACACACACCCTCAACCAGATCCTTTTTTCCGCCTCCCTCTCTCCAACAGCTCACTGTAGGTCAGACTGGGGACGCAGCAGAGAGAACTCTCCTGGAGTCCCAGACTAAGTTTATTCGTCAACTTTAGCCTAACTTCCCCTACACTGTGCATCACAGTCTGCTTTAGATGATGGGTTTCCTGAAATGGGATTTAAGATATGTCTTACTCTCTTTGTTATTCTCTGGCACTGTGCCTGGGACATTCTAAACTTAAAGTCCAGCAAAGTGAGGGCAGTGAGCCTTCCCCAGGAGCCTTCCCCTGGCACTCTCTCACTGACTGCCAGGTCCTAGCTTTCTCTACAGAACCCACTCTTCTTCAAATTGACAACTGGAGGGGCACTTGAGTGGCTCAGTCAGTTAAGCATCCAACTTTGACTCAGGTCATGATGTCACAATTCATGGGTTCGAGCCCCACGTCGGGCTTTATGCTGACAGCTCAGGAGTCTGAAGCCTCCCTCTCTCTGCCCCTCCCCTGCTCGTGTTATGTCTGTCTGTCTGTCTCTCAAAAATAAATAAACATTAAAAATTTTTTTTTCAAACTGGCAACTGGAGTTAGATGACTGCAGCCAAAACAACCCCAAGATCAATCTCTATGCTTTCCCCAAATCCCTTCTCAAGCAAAAGCCACTTTCTAAATCAGTGGCTTCCAAAGGGACCCTCGCTAGAGTATGGAAAGAAAACAGAGCCTCTGTTGCACTGTTTTGCTTACTGTTTCTCAGCGTCTAGTTTGGAGGGTACCTTTTATAAGGTATATGGTAATAAAATTGTATGTGCACATAATTCACACATATCCATATACTGAAGATATAAAGTAAAATGTTTCTACTGCGGAGTGTGCACAAAGAATTTTAGAGATCACTCCTCTGCCGAGTTCTCAGCCTCAGTCTCCGTACTGGGGTTCTCAGCATCAGTAGCCACTACCCTGATAAGAAAATACTGTTCTTTATCCTTTGGATAAAAGATGGAAGCTGAGTAAAGTGGCAGAAAAGAACAGGAAGCTCTGAAAGAGAATATAACAGCTCCTCCAACAAATAAAACCTCAAATCCTACTGGCTAAAGTTTCTAGTCTAAAGGGTAGAGGCAACTCTCAACTCCCCCACAACTGTTTCTGAACTCTGGTGCCCTCTGGAGGAATGGGTGGAAAATGCAACTGTATACCAAATTGAACTCAGAAGGAATAGATTTAGAAAATGTTAGGTAGTGTCTACCTTCAGGGCTTTCACATCCAGACCCACAAATGACCAGAGAATTATTAATTCTTGTGGCTTAGAGGTCTTCTGTTAAGACAGTGGCTCCTATCATAACCTCCCATTCTCAAATTGGGTTGAAGTTGAAAGAACCATGGAAAATACAGAAGCCTATGACAAAAGCTAAAATTTAGTAGGAGTTATATTTTAAGATGTTAATGTTGGAATGCAACCATGTTTATGGTTTGGAACTACCAACACGAGAAATAAGTCATTCCATAACTTTAAGGGTCCTCCATCTGATGGGGCACATCAATATTATCAGGGAGGACTTAAAGGGGGTGGGGGAGAGCTTATGGGTGCTTAGATTCCATACCATTCTTCCTAGAATGGAACTTCTAGGAGCAGGAGCAGGAGCAGGACTTAGGTTTTTTTTTTTTTAATTTAAAAAATTTTTTTAAATTTTTCTGCAAATGTTAGATAGGTTTTTATTTATTTAATTTACTTATTACAAATAGTTTATTGTCAAGTTGGTTTCCATATAACACCCAGTGCTCATCCCCACAAGTGCCCTCCTCCATGCCCATCTCCCCCTCCCCCCCACATCCATCAGTCCTCAGTTTGTTCTCAGCATTCAAGGGTCTCTCATGGTTTGCCTCTCTCCCTTTCCCCCAC